ATGCAATTTACCAGCACTGAGATTCTAAGAAGCCAATTATAAGGGTTCTTATAATTGAAATTCTTCTGTTTCTTTGCTGGAAAGAAATATCTCCAAAGGGATTTTTTTTTTTTTGCAGTTTTATCAGTAGAAAAAGGGGTAAAGCCACTTACGACTTTCTTTTTTTTGTTCAAGGAAAATTAAGAATATATTTCTAAAAGATCATTTCCATAGGTCATTTCCACCATAGTCCTGTGGAAGCCACTTGGATACTGACATATTTTCAACATTACTGAAAATACAGTCTATTAATAAATGCTGCTTATTTAACTACACTTTAAAATCACTCATATCACTTTAGAGAATCTACTTGGATTGTCTCTTCTGTGTTTCACTGTTTTTTCTGGCCAACAGATGGCAGGACAATTCTTGCAAATAAGGCGAAAAAGTGGACCTGCCCAAAAATTCTCCCAAAACTATTGACTGAAGTATCTTGATAGCACCACTCAATTACGATTGAAGTGATATAGGGCTTGTGGAAGCAATAACCATGATTGATTTATGCGGCATATCATACCATATCCCCCTCCCAAACCACAGAAAGCTGGGGAGGAGCAGAGGGGGAGCAAAAAAAGGGAAGAGGAGATATTGATTCCAGCCATGGTCTGTTGAGTTATTATACTCATGTTTGCCCACTTAGGTTTTGGTGTGTGTATGTGTGTGCTTTTTTCTGAGTTATGTGTGTTTTGTGTGACTGTTTTCAGCACTAGGTCTATTAGCCTTTTCGATTTTATACATACAATACACTGTTTTCCTGTGATCCTCTTGTGGGTTTTGATAGAACAGAATATTTGTAGCCCAGGATTGAACTGAGCTTGGTTGTTTTCTTGCAGACATTTCATTACCCAACTAAGTAACATCATCAGTGCTAAAAAGGGAATGGGGTTCACTCTCATTTTTATATACTAATGGATTGCCCTATCAGTGTTGGTGGGAGGGGTCTTGGTGATTCCTTGATTAGGCTGTTGGGGGTTGAGGATCTTCTATAGGTATTTTAATGAAGAATATGGGAAATCAGATACCAGGCCTATAGCCCAATCAAACAAATCCTACTTGGTGTTTTATAAATAATAATAATAATAATAATAATAATAATAATAATAATAATAATAATAATAATAATAATAATAATAATAATAATAATAATAATAATAATAATAATAATAATAAAGTTGGAAGGGACCTTGGAGGTCATCTAGTCCAACCCCCTGCTCAGGCAGGAAACCCTATACCATTTCAGACAAATGGCTGTCCAGTTTTTTCTTAAAAACTTCCAGTGTTGGAGCATTCACAGCTTCTGGCGGCAGATTGTTCCACTGATTAATTATTCTAACTGTCAGAAAATTTCTCCTTAGTTCTAGGTTGCTTCTCTCTTTGGTTAGTTTCCATCCATTGCTTCTTGTCTTGCCTTCAGGTGCTTTGGATAATAGCTTGATTCCCTCTTCCTTGTGGCAACCCCTGAGATATTGGAACACTGCTATCATGTCCCCCCTCATCCTTCTCTTCATTAAACTAGACATACCCAATTCCAGCAACTGTTCCTTATATGTTTTAGCTTCCAGTCCCCTAATCATCTTTGTTGCTCTTCTCTGTACTCTTTCTAGAGTCTCAACATCTTTTTTACATCGTGGTGACAAAAACTGGATGCAGTATTCCAAGTGTGGCCTTACCAAGGCATTGTAAAGTGGTATTAACACTTCACGTGATCTTGATTCTATCCCTCTGTTAATGCAGCCCAGGACTGTGTTGGCTTTTTTGGCAGCTGCAGCACACTGCTGGCTCATATTTAAGTGATTGTCCACTAGGACTCCGAGATCCCTCTCACAGTTACTACTATTGAGCAAGGTACCACCTATACTATACCTGTGCATTTGGTTTTTCTTGCCTAAATGTAGAACCTTACTTTTTTCACCATTGAATTTCATTTTGTTAGATAGTGCCCAATGTTCAAGTCTGTCAAGATCCTTCTGTATCTTAAGCCTGTCTTCTGGAGTGTTGGCTATTCCTGCCAGCTTAGTGTCATGTGCAAATTTGATGAGTTCCCCTTCTATCCCCTCATCCAAAACATTGATGAAGATGTTGAAGAATCCATTGAGGACCATATGCTGAGTACGGCCGGTCAGGCAGCTACGAATCCATCTGGTGGTGATGCTGTCTACCCCACATTTTTCTATCTTATCAAGTAGTAGATTGTGGTCTACTTTATCAAATGCCTTACTGAAGTCCAAGTAAATTATATCCACAGCATTCCTCTGGTCCACTAATTTTATCACCTGATTAAAGAATGCAATAAGATTTGTCTGGCAGGATCTGTTTTTGACTTTGTTTGCCTCAATCATTGCTTGATTATCTTTTCCAAGATCTTCCCAGGTATTGAGGTCAGGCTGATAGGTCGGTAGTTTCCTGGATCCATTTTTTTTTCTTTTTTGAAGATGGGAACTACATCAGCTTTTTTCCAGTCCTCTGGTAGTTCCCCAATGCTCCAGGATCTTTGAAAGATATAGTTCAGTGGTTTTGAGATCACATCTGCCAGTTTCTTCAGAAACTTCCATCTGGTCCTGGTGATTTGAACTCATCTAAGGTGGACAGGTGCTCACTTACCATTTTCTTGCCTATCTTAACTTGTGTTTCTAATCTGTTTTTTTATGGTGCTGTTTTTGATAGGTTGATCTGTTTTTTCACTTTGTGTAAAGACAGATGCAAAAAACGAGTTAAATAGTTCTGCTTTCTCCCTGTTGCTTGTCACCTTCTTGCCACTTTCTCCCACTAGTGGACCAATCATTTCCTTAACCTTTTCTTGTTTTTTTCATGTTGAAAGAAGGTGTTTTTTTTGTTATTTTTGACTTTTGTTGCAAGCCTTAGTTCATTTTGTGCCTTAGCTTTCCTCACTCCATCTTTGCAGGCTCAGGCTATTTGCTGATATTCTGCCTTAATTATGTGCCCTTCTTTCCATTTTTATACTTGTCCTTTTTGTCTTTCAATTTGTCAGAGAGTTCTTTATGCAGCCATGCTGGTTTCTTTTGAGAGTTGTTATTTTTCTTCTTTGTTGGTATTGTGCTAAATTGGGCTTTTATAATCTCAGATTTCAAAATTTCCCAAGCTTCTTGAATTGTTTTCCCCTTGAGGATTCTCATCCATTGAGTCCTTCCCAAGCTCTCTCTAAGTTTGTTAAAATTAGGTCTCTTAAAGTCCAAGACTCTAGTTTGACTGTGTTCTATTGCTTGTGCTTGTATAATGTTGAATTCCAATATTGCATGGTCACTCCCCCCCCCAAGGTTTCTGTGGTTTCAACATCTATCATTTCATCCCTGTTAATGAGAATTAAGTCCAATATGGCTGATCCCCTAGTTTCCTTCTCTACTTTTGGGGAGACAAAATTGTCTGCTAGGTTTGTCAGGAATCTGTTTGATCTTCCACTTGATGCAGAGTTTGTCTCCCAGTTGATGTCAGGGTAATTAAAGTCCCCATTACTATTGTGATGTGCTTCCTTCATACCTTAGTTAACTGACTAGAAAAAAATTCATCTATTTCCTCTGCTTGGTTGGGTGGCCTATAGTATACACCTATGGCAATGTCATTTCCCCCCCCTTTTATATTTTCTTCCAGAGTTACAGTGACAGGTGAATTGTTTTGAATGCTTGACCCCAAGATGAACATAGCTCAATTCTATGAGACTGGTAGAAGAGCAAATACATTTCTTGGCTGAATTAGAAGAAGTTTTGTACCAAAAATGTAATTAGTCCCCTCTACGCATATTGTTGAGACCCCACCTGGAATTCTGTGTTGATTCTCAGTGCTCCTTTTCCAGAAGGCTATTGACAGGGTGGAGATGGTTCACAGGAGAACAATGGGACTTAAGAACATAGCGTCTGAGAACAGGTTAAAGCAGTGGTTCTCAATTTTGGCAATTTTAGGATGTGTGGACTTCAATTCCCAGAATTCCTCAGCCAACATGGCTAGTTGGGGAATTCTGGGAATTGAAGTCCACACACCTTAAGGTTGCCAAGGTTGAAACATACAAGGCTAAAGGAACCTGTAATGTCCTAGTTTGAAGAAAAGAGTAAAGGGAGGCTGTATTCAGGGTCATAAAGGGAAGCTATAGGGAAGATGGTCATAAAATATTTTCCATGTCTACAGAAACTAGAACAAAAAGCAACAAGCATTCGGCTGCAGCTCCCTAGTTTTAATTTAAATACAGGTAGTCCTCGACTTATGACCACAACTGAGCCCAAAATTTCTGCTGAGACATTTGTTAAGTGAGTTTATTGCTATTTTACTACCTTTCTTGCCACAGTTGTTAAGTGAATGACTGCAGTTGATAGTAACCCAGTTCTTAAGTCAATCTGGCTTGCTCATTGACTTTGCTTGTCAGAAGGTCGCAAAAGGTGATCCCATGACCTCGGGACACAGCAAATATCATAAATATGAACCAGTTGCCAAGCTTCTGAATTTTGATCACATGACCATGGGGATGCTGTAAAGGTCGTAACTGTGAAAAGATCATAAGTCACATTTTTCAATGCCTTTGTAACTTTGAATCATCACTAAACGAACTATTGATAAGTCAAGGACTACCAGTATAACGAAAATATACAATGGTGGAACAACCTATCTACCTATTTTAAGAAGAGCCTGGACACTTAGTTTCACTATTGCAGAGATCTGGATTAGAAGATGATTCCTTCAAGCTCTACAATTCTATGAAATTGATTAAAACCATTTTCAAGTGCATCTTTACGCCTCTGTGTTTGATAGCTTTGGTCAACCAAGTGTCTCTGATGAAGATAAGCCTATTGCTCTCATCTTTTGCTGGCTAGATGCAGTTCACTTTCTGCGAACAGCCAACTTTACCTGTTGACCTTCAAAGCACTTGTTCATGTGCATCGAACCAATGCCATTCACAATATACCCTTTCATGTAGAAATCCAATTAAACTCTTGCCAGCATCAAAGAAGCAGACCCACTTTATCACAAGGGGCCATACGGCTTTCAGTATTTTACAAATTAAAGCGTTTTTAGCAAAGTACATCAGGAATATTTGAAAAAGCAATACAGCAAGCATTGCACAGCAATACCCTGATAAAGCATAATTTCAAGATTACATCATTCATTTATACAATAAATGTACACATGTTGCAACACTGGTTTCACAAACTACCTTAAGCTATGATTTATTTAATCATTTCTTTTCACTGTACCACAATTAGCTAGGTTGACATGCTAAGCCCAAAACTCCAGGATTCTAAATGGTGATGGTTGAATTCATCCATTGCAATGAGCATTGGCTTAGTATCTTCTTTGAGCCCAGCCATAAAAAGAATGTTTAGATGTCACATAGGTTTTAGCACCATGGTATAATAGCACCATACTGAAGAACCAAACTGATTAATTCAGTTCGACTTATAAATCTGTTATACACAAACATGGCAACTTTTACAATTCTTCACATATAGAATTTCAGAAGAAAATTACAATCCTAGGAAGGGAAAGTACTGTCTGAACAATGTTTCATCAATTTTTTAGTATAAGCCATGCTGGTTGAGTTCAAAAACATCTGGAGAGCCTCAGGGTCTACAACTGTAGCTTCAAAAATTACCATGTATAAGTCAACGGATGACAATGATAACTTGTGGCGTACATTAATGAGTCTCTGACCTAGATGGATGTTTTTATACAGAATAAGATGCATACCTGGATATATCAAAATCTTTTTCTATTTCCAATACAGCTCTCTTGACAAATCAGCATAAAAGCTGATTCATTAAAGCAAGAAAACCTGATTTAAACTGGGCCAGAAAGATTGAGCAGGAAATGACCCAGAGAAGGAAAATGAAATCAAAGGAACTACTGACAGATACAGAAAAAATAAGGATAATATATAGAACATACAAAAATAATGAGTCCAAATTTTGAAAAGGCTATCTTGCCTCCAGGAAGGTTTAAATTATAGGTCCATAGACCATGCTGGAAATTGTAGAAGAATTTTGTTTATTTCCAAAGTCCATCTTACCAAGTTTAGTTTTTATTTAGGCGACGATTCAGATTTGGTTAATTCTCAAGATCCATTTTGTTGACAGCCAAGTATCTCTTGCATGTGTGGCAGCACTGAATCCTTACTGATGGTGCAGAACATCTGCCAATATCTCTCACCCTCTCGCAGAAGTTCACAGATAGTCTGTCCTTGCTGCAGGATGAGCCTGTAAGTGTGTATGGGAACAGAGAGAAGTTACTGGTGTTTCATGCAGCAGAGTTAAGATAAGACAAAGTATCAGAGAGAAAATGAAAGACACCCAGTGATAAATAGAAAATAAAGATCAAGAGTCAGATAGTTAGAACTTGGAAAAGGTTATAGGAAGGACAGAAGAATAGAGATCCATAAGCAAAATAGAAGATTAAGACAGAAATAGGAGGCATACGATAAATTAAATGGTTCTAAATAACAAAATGACAGATAATCTTTCATGACAAATGTTTGTAATACAAGACTATTTTAGCTGGAATTAATGTGTACACAACCACTCTAGAGTCTGTACCAATCTTGAATCTGTGACAATATACAGGTAGTCCTTGACTTACAACAGTTCATTTGATGAGTGTTCAAACTTACAATGGCACTGAAAAAAAGTGATTTATGACTGTTTTTCACACTTACGACCGTTGCAGCATCTCCATGGTCATGTGATCAAAATTTAGATGCTTGGTGGTTGCAGTGACCCAGGTTCATGTGATCTCCTTTTGCAACCTTCTGATGAGCAAAGTCAATGGGGAAGGCAGATTCACTTAGCAACTGTGTTACTAACTTGACAACTGCAGTAATTCGCTTAACAAATGTGGCAAGAAAGGTTGTAATATGAGGCAAAATTCACTTAACAACTATCTCGCTTAGCAACATAAAATTTGGGCTTAATTGTGGTCATAAGTCGAGGACTACCTGTAGTTGACAACGCTTGGTGTTGAAAAAAAATCATTTGCTGGTCCAACCAGCTTCTGAAGATGGAATGACAGGATATGTGAGGCAATCTTATTCAATGTAAGGAACAAAATATCTTAGGCCAGCTATGAAATCAGCTGGATGTGGAGAACTTGGAATTCTGAGAGTTGTGGCTCTAAAATCTGGAGGATGACGAGTTGAGAGAGGTTGTGAAAAAATGAAAAGTGATGTTTATTTTTTGCAAGTATTTGTAATAGCATGTGTTTCATTAGATATCTTTACTCTCGATTAGTTTTTGCCATGAACTTGCGACCTATATTGTGCCGCTTTAATATGATTGCAAGCATTTAAATACTGGAATAAATTCATGTTATTAGTGGAGCAGCTTCTGCACTAATCTCAGGCTGTTTGGGAAAGAGAGAGATACATAATTTGATTACAGATGTCTAATGAAATTTTTCTTTGAGGCAATCTGATGCTTCCTCCTGGATTAACCAATGTGTACATTAGAATATCATTCTCCTTCAGAATTTGTAATTCTAGGAAGTTTGTGATGCACCTATTCAGCCCAAATGAGTGCAAAATACATTTACAAATGCTCATTTTATGATAAATTTGTTGTGAAGCATCTACTTGATGATAACATGACTACTGATATTGTGCCTCAAATAGTTCAGAACTAGTGAATATACCCATGATATGTAAACTTGATTAATTTCAATTGATTAAAGTTTGAGGGGGGAGGGTTAGTGTGTTATGCAAACCTATCCCATTTGGCTAATTTATGATCTAATGTATAATGTGAACCCTGACAATGGGTTATTTCCATAGCCTAGATAACCAAGTTCTATGGTCACAGCCAGTGTTTAGAAATGCAAATACATGCAAATATATTATAAATACATATTCCAATAACATTGTCTTGAGATTTCTTCCCACCCTTAAAGTCAGAAATTAATCCAAAAATATATCAACAAATGAAACTATTTGCTCTTTGGAATAAGCAACACTAGAAGGTCTCCAATGAATCAGCTTGTAATATAGAATTTCCTGCCATTTTGACCCAGGATGGTTTTCTTGGACAGATCTTTGCTAGAATAAACTCACCAGTACTTTTCACACATTTGTGTAGGTTGCATTCCTGAGAATCTGGAGGCTTGGTCTCCTGCTCGCACCAATTCTCCTCCTTAGTTGCATGGCCGTCCACACTGATGCACCGCACTGCTCTTTCCTGAGTACCACCTCCACAGGAAGCTGAGCACTGGAAGTCATTTTGAATGACAAAGCACAAATTCCAAGCACAAAGGCTGCATTGATTGGGAATCAGCACCATGTCCTGTGTCCTCACAATGCCATGGGGTTTTGGAAGAGCTTTGCAAGCTAACTATTGGCTCAGTAGACACTCCAGAGGAAACACTGCAAAACCCTGCAGCTCTGGACTAGGAAGTTATTAGCAGGAACTCCTATATCAGGAGTGTCAAACTTGCAATGTCACGTGACATGTCACGACTTTTTTTCCATTGCCAGCAATGGGGTGAGCGTGGGTTCGGCATGATGCATTCGGCCCGCGGGCCAGCAGCTTGACACCCCTGTCCTATATCATTCCCACACCTGTGACTTCCCTCCCTCCCCTCCTGAGACCAAGATGCTCTTGGTCTTGTCACTATCCCATCAGGGTTGCTGAAATGAAAGTGTCAACGCTGCTAATATTGAATATTCTTGCTTTGACAATATATGCAGAACTGTCTGGTATTTTTAGAGTTAAATCAGGTGACAGCGAAAGGGGAGGAGAATATAAGGAAAGCCCGGGGAAAAGAAACAGAAGTGAATCTTTGCCCTCCAAGTTAATTGGAAGATGTGAATCATGACCCCAAAATAGGGGAGGAGAAATGCCTGGAATGTTATGTGCAAAGGAAGGGAAATTCAGATCTTAGCATTCCACCATGCCGTGCTGACACTCTGTAATACTAATAAAGGCTTTTTAGGTTAAAAAAATGCCTGAAAGTTCTTTGAAGTGTTTCGTTAATCAGACACATGACAGAAAGACTAGGGGAGGATCCCAGGACACTGGCTGGAATGTCAGGATTCCTACTGCATTGCCCTGCTTGATGGCATCACTCTCCTCCTCCTTCCTGTTCTTCTTTAGCCCCTGAGAGCAACAAGAGGACACTTACACAACAAAATGAACCTGCTGCAGAGGTAAGAAGGCAAAAGTAGTGGTTGGAAGGAATTGCACATACAGGTAGTCCTTGACTTACAACAGTTTGTTTAGTGATTGTTCAAGGTTACAACGGCACTGAAGAGTGACTTATGATCATTTTTCACACCTATGACAGTTGCTGCATTCCCATGGTCAGGTGGTCAAAATTCAAACACTTAGCAACTGGCTCATATTTATGACAGTTGCAGGGTCCCAGAGTCATGTGATCCCCTTTTGTGACCTTCTAAAATCAATGGGGAAAGTCAATGGGGAAGCCCGATTCATTTAACAACCATGTGACTAACCTAACAACTGCAGTTTAGTGATTCATGGCTGGCTCAGGAACTCTGGGAGTTGAAGTCCACGTGTCATGAAAGAGCCAAGGTTGCCTACCCCTGCACTAAACAAATGTGGCAAGAAAGGTCATAAAATCGGACAAAACTCACTTAACCAATGTCTTGCTTAGCCACATAAATTTTGGGCTCAATTTTGGTCATAAGTCAAGGACCACCTGTAGGCTGGAGAAGAGCACCAAACATCCAGGCATAATACAATAGTTACCTATCTCTTGATCTACATGACATGATGGTCACAGTCATTGATACATAACAAATTTTAATAAAGAAATATTTTAGCCATCAGAACCGAGTGCACTGCTATCTATGCCTACTAAGGCTCAGGGCCAAGTTAGAAGTGGAAATGCTGAGAGAGCAAGCCATTTCTATCTACCGTAGCCTCCAATAGGATACAGAAAAAAACTCTAAACTTAACTCTGATCTTTAGCCATGCATCTGATTGTATTTGGGAGCTCAGTATTACTCTGAAGTGCTAATGTTTTATCTTATGAACATGATCACTGCAGTCTGTAAAGCAGGGTTGATCCTTAATGTGACAGATGAACTCACCTAATTCAGCCAACGACGCTGAACTAATTTTAAGCACAAGGTATGAATACTGTATTTCTGGTAATGGTCAGATAAGAGAGGCTTGAACTCAGTCCCAGAATGTAACTTGAGAAAATGTCTCAGACAAGCCTCTCCTTATAAAGATAATACAAGGGACAGGGAAGCACATTAAAGTGTGCAAGATTCTGTTACTACTGCTGTTACAATAAAAGTAGTTCTGATCTGAATAGTATTGTTTCTCAATCTAATTTACCTTGTTGGGCTGACAATGGGGAAGGCTGCTCTATGTTCTGTACAGTTTGGGAATGTTCTGGCTCCAGTGGTGGGATACAGCCGGTTCGCACCAGTTCAGCAGAACTGGTAGCTAATTTTTTGTTGCCCAGGCCCAGAATGGACTTCTGGAAGCGGCATCCACACAGAGAACTGGTTGTTCACATATTTAAATCCCACCACTGTCTGGCTCCACTCGGATGGCATGCAAATGATTCATTGGTTCATTAATCAGAGTGATGCATTGTACCTCATTCCAAGTCTCTGTGTGCCACATGAAGCATAGATCCATGTTACAGCTCATGTTCAGTACCGGCTGGCTTTGTAGGATCTGGCAGTGGAACGGCCTCAGGACTCTCTTTTCTCGCACATCAATGCAATGTGCATCGCGGGTCTTGAAACCCCCTCCACAGCTGGAAGAGCACTGTGGAGGGAAGAGCAGCAAGAAGGTAACCTCTGTAACGTCAAACATCCCTGAGAGGTATTTTGTTTTTGAAAGCACAGGGCAACTGGTATGATGCAACACAGAAATAGGGGAACCATAGGACCTCCCTTGCTGTCCAGGGCCAAAGACAGAGTGGAATCATTTTTTAAAACTCCTTTAAAAGGGCTGTTTGAGTAGCTTTAAAGGGAAAGAAATGACTACATCTGCATGAGGCTTAAAATGCTTATTTGAAAAGATATACTTTGAGGCTTTAAGAAAAAGCCCCAAAAGATGTCCCTCTATCCAGTGGAGAGTGCATGCTAAAGAGCTGGAGCAGCAAATTCCCAACAAAATTGCCACTTGTGGCTACTGTGGGCAAATCTCCTGAACTGAGCATGGATTTTTCACACAGAAAACAGTGTTGCCTCAAATACCCTTTAAGTCATGTAAAGCTTAAAGATAATGACTTCTTTGTATTTTGTAGAGAAATGAATTGGCACTTCTTTAAGCACAGATATAACGTGGTCAGCTTATGCTCTTCCCAAAACCACGTTGTCTACCAGCTGACCTTCCCCCCCCCCCAGAAGAGTGAGTTACCACAGTCAACCCTGGAGATTATTACAACAGCATAATTTTAAAATATTTATTTTCCAGCAAAACATACAGTTGTCATATCAACCAAAGTTGATGAAATGCAGTTCTGACAGCCTTGATCTTGGAAGGAGAAAAAGACAGATTCAGGGCCCAAAGCATACCCATATTGCATATCTGCTCCTTCTGGGAAAATATTATCCCAGATTCAGAATAGGCAGACATGCCACCTTTATGTTCCTAATAATAAGAGCCTGTATCTTCTCTAGACACAGTTTCAAGTTGTTATTCTTTATCCAGCCCATTACTGATTGCAGACAGCTGTGAAGCACTACCAAACATCCAACTGGTTGACTGAGGAATTCTGGGAGTTGAAGTCCACAAGTCTTCAAATTGTCAAGGCTGGACACACCTGCCTGAAAGCAAAGTATTTGGACTGGCAAGTGGTCTCTCTGCCCTGAAGCCTCAGGGCAGACATGTCAAACTCACGATGTCACGTGACTTCGCGCAACGTATCGGAGCTTTTTTGCCATTGCCGGCAATGGGGTGGGTGCGGCTCCAGTATGATGAAACCAGCCCGCGGGCCGGCAGTTTGACACCCCTGCCTCAGGGCATCAAAACTTCAGAACAACGTAGGACTCCTTGGAGCAAGGCATTGTAGAAAGTCAGCACCCACCCACAGTCCTAGAGAAGGAAATATTTTGGGGGGTATTAAAAAAGGCAGAATATTATATTTCCCCAAAGGAATAATGAAGAAAAATCTTAATGGAGGCAGAAAATCAGCCCAAGTCTCCCTCAAGCAGAAACTGAGGAGGCCACTTTTTAGAAATGCAGATTTAGGGCACACCATTCATAAGCAAAATGCCTTCAGCCTCCACAGCTGATGAGATTAAGAATTTATATTCCCCCACCCAAAAATCTAAAGAACATGACTTTTAGGATATAATAGGATTAATCCTACACCCTCTTCAGACAAGCAAAAAACACAAAAACCCACCTCATTGCAAAACCCAGAAACATTTTCCCTTCAAAATTTCAGAGCCCTATACAGATCCATCCACCCTCAACTCCATTGGTCAGCTGTCCCAGAGCCACATGCTGCTGCTGGTTCTGCTCATTAATAACCTGGAACCTTCTTTCTAAGCAGCCTCCATTTTTATTTCCAGCATCTTAGCCTCCATTTTATTTAGTCCCAGCTTGGAACTGGACCTGATGATTTTTCTTTCAACAGCACCAAAGCGGGTGCTAAAACACTGTTATAACAACCTATGTAAGAGGGCAAAAATCTGCCAGCTTTCTAAATTTGAAGGAAGGATTTTAGTTTGCTTTATGAAAAGATCAGATTGGCCAAGAGTATGGCTAGGATAGATCGCAATTAGGGCCACCCAATCTGGGTTACAAAAATCTAGGCAACCAGTAGATGGCAGCAAAGGGAATCATCTAGCTCAGTGGTTCTCAACCTTTTTAATGCCGTGACCCCAACCGGTCTTAAGTTGAGGACTAAACCAGTCGTAAGTCGAGGACTAAACCGGTCGTAAGTCGAGGACTACCCAACCGGTCGTAAGTCGAGGACTTTCCCTGCCCGGAAGCGCTGCGCATGTGTGGTTCCGCCCCCTGCGCCGGCCGAGGCGTAGCTGGCAAGCGGCAGAGAGGGAGCAGGCCGACCGCCAGCTGGCCCAGCCCAAGGGAGGTAAGGCACCCGCCGGAAAAGGGGGAAAAAATGGCGGACAAAAAAAATGGCGGACAGCCATGCTTGGCGACCCCCATGAAATGGTCGATCGACCCCAAATGGGGTCCCGACCCACAGGTTGAGAACCACTGATCTAGCTCTTTGGAATCATCTCATGATAACTGGATTTTTGCAACTTAGGTCTGAAAGAACTACTAAGCAAGACAGCTGGCTTTTGGAGGTTTTCCAAGAAGCTAGATTGCTGAAGGAGAGGCAATTGATGAAAAAAACTGACAATTTAAAACTTGAGCCACTCAGCTCTATAGCGCCATTCAAAACTGCACTGTAGTTTGTCAAGGAGGAAAAGGTGAGAAGTATGAGGTCTGTGTTTGCAATTGGAGTTGCTTAAAACAAGGTACGCTGCATTCTTCTGAATGAGAAGCAAATAAAGTTCAAGTCTTGAAGAACAGAAACTCCACCATCCCATCTATAACCACTTCAAGTTGAACATTGCTAACTTCTGTGGAAATTCTAAAAAGAACATATTCATAAATGTTATTATTCCCAGGATCCACTTTTGACAAGAGCCTGGAATAGAAAATCTAATCAATAAAATGTTTAATTTTGAAGTACTTCAGTTGGTAAGAAAAATAATAATAGCTAATATAAATAGAGAATGTTCTATAGAAAGAGATCTGCCTCAAAATTAGCATTGAAAATGTATCACTATTCTGATTATTTCCATTTTCAATGTTTGAAAAATTTAAATGTTCATTAAATTTAAATTTTGAATCTTACCAGTGGCAGTTACGTGGTTCAGGAAACATGACATTGGGAAACTTTAGAGTAAAAGAAATTACGCATTTCAGGGATATGTTGAGAATAAAATGCATTTCCCCCATTACTTGTTTATGGAAAAGAGTAAATTGTTTTAGTCAGGGTCAGAGAACAAGCTCTTTTGGCTTCCCAAAAGCAGAAATCCACAATAAATCAATCAATCACAGTGGGCCAGGCTTCATTACCTTGCTCCAGTTTCCTACTCTCCACTGAGCACATGGCCGAAGATAGCATCTTCTGGCTGGATCAGGTTTTTTGATGTGCTGGCAGTCAGACTGATTCTTGGTGTTGCATTCCACTAGTCTCCAAAAGGCCCCAACACCACATGTGGTAGAACACTGGAAAATTGGAAATAATGCTGCCGTTTCTTAAGGATGCAGGAGAAGAAAATGACAGACAAGGCTTTCTAATTTTTCCTGACAGTAATTTCCTGACCTTAAGAATCAATAGAATAGTTTTCTTCCTGGAGTTGTGGGTGCTCCATCACTGGAGGTCTTCAAGAAAAAATCTTCTAGTCTAACCCCCTGCTTAAGCAGGAAGCTCTATACCAGTGGTGGCGAACCTATGGCACGGGTGCCAGAAGTGGCACTCGGAGCCCTCTTTGTGGGCACACGTGCTGTTGCCCCAGCCTTGCCTCCCCCGTGACCCCCTTCTCTCCAGCAGCCCCCCTGAAGGAGAGTCGCCCTCGAGCGTGGCCCACATGGAGCAGCGCAGCCAAGGACATGGCAGCCAGGCAGCATAGACAAGACTCTGCCCTCACACCCCATCATGCAGTTGATGCTGCAGGGCGCGGGCAGAGGGTGTGGCTGCCATAGCGCTTCTGGGCTGCCTGGGTGATCTGTGGGCCCTGGAGGCGGTGAGTGATCCTGTGGGCAGGCGGGGCGAAGGATGGGGGGGGTGTAAGTGGGGATGGGGCCAGTTTTTGGGCACTTGGTCTCTATACCATTTCAGACAAATGGTTGTCCAATCTCTTCTTAAAAACATCCAGTGATGGAGCACCGCAACTTCTGAAAGCAAATCGTTCCACTGATTAATTGTTTAACTGTCAGGAAATTTCTTCTTAGTTCTAGGCTGGTTCTCTTCTTCATTAGTTTCCATCCATTGTTTTGCCTTCAGGTGCTTTGGAGAATAGGTTGGACCCCTCTTCTTTATTAAAAAAAGTAAGGGATCACTACACAACCTTAATGTACTCTTTTTCAGTTCTGAAACATTTAATTGTTCCATATTCTGTTCAAACTGTTCCTTCCTAATTATCGTATATATTCAATAGACGGATGAGATGGGCCCAGGGTACCTATGATTCTTAAGCACTATCCACAAATTGTGGATATTTACAAATACAAAAGCCTTTACATAATCAAAAAAGCAAAAATGGGCATTTGTTTTCTTTGCTTTTTCCATATTAGCAATGTGATCTCAGCTATCCTTGCCTCTGAGGAAAGAAATCAGTTTATTTGTCTGGCAGTTCTCATTCCGTGTATTGTTGAGGTAAATTAAGAAGTATCTATTATTTGAATGGCAGGCGCTGTAAATGGTCAATTTTCATCTGAATTAATACAAAATGAAAATGTTTGGCCTGCCAAATGTATTGTAAGACCTTCTATCTTCTCACTAATTTTCTCAAGAATGCTTTTGCTTCTATCAAAGCTAGGCTAAATATCCTACTCAATGAACATTCAACTTAATTTCTTTGTAGCTTGATGAAAAACTTGGAAGGCAATATTCATTTGATTTGAAATTAAGTTGAAGCATCCCAATGTAAAACCGTTTAAGGCAGTTGGCTTCAAAGAACCAAATGTGGTAGTCTTGAGACCTTGCCTTTATAAATACGGTTGGGAGGTTGCTTCTGTTTCTGTAAAGCCTCAAAGAGATAAGTAACAGCTGTACACCGCTATTCAGCTGAAATTCTGAAATTCTCCATGGGGCTTTGTTAATTAATTTGACACATTTGCAGTGAAGTTCAAAATAGGAAATAATCAATTTCACCTTGCTCAGTAGCATTTTCAAGTATTATGAATTTCTTTGTGAAGCATCCCAGAAATTCCCAGAGTTATAAATTGTTACATAATAAACAGTTTCCAGCATTGAAATGCAAAGCATTGTACACTGCCCAGAATTGCTCTGTGAGTGAGGTGGGTGGTCTCTACATTTGATAAATAAATAAACAAACCATTCCCAGAAACTATTTCCCTTGCAGACCGTTTCAAGGTAAGTCTTTTCTCCTCTCAAAACCCCTGAGCTCAAAGTCAAGCTTGTTTATCCTGATGTAATTTTGAGATAATATTTAAGGCACTGGTCTAGGATGCGAAATTTCCAGGTTCAGGTCTGCTCCCAGCTACGAAAACTCATATGGCTTTGGAGTAATGGTAGTCCTCGACTTACAACCATTTGTTTAGTAATTGTTCAAAGTTATAACAGCATTGAAAAAGTGACTTATAACCATTTTTTCACACTTACAACCGTTGCAGCATCCCCATGGTCACATGATCAAAATTTGGACTCTTGGCAACTGGCTCATATTTATTATGGTTGCAGGGTCCCAGGGTCATGTGATCACCTTTTGTGACCTTATAACAAACAAAGTCAATGGGGAAGCCAGATTCGCTTAACAACTATGTTACTAACTTGTCAACTGTAGTGATTCACTGAACAACTGTGGAAAGAAAAATTGTAAAAGGGGGAAAATTCACTTAACAACCATCTTGCTTAGCAACAGAAATTTAGGGCTCAATTGTGATCCTAAATTGAGGATTATCTGTACTCACAATTTCCAGTTCAACCTATCTCACAGACTTATTGTGGGGAAAAATTAGGAGTGGTCTATGTTCCACCCTGAGTTCCTGAAGGAAATTGGCAGGACTTATACATATCTTGGCATCTAACCTACATTTTTCAAAATGCACATTTGCTACCTTGAGTGATTTATAAATAATAATAAAAGCGGGATAAAAAATAAATACATAAATAAATAATGATGAGCCTTGTAACAACAGCTGAAGGCGAAGATTCACCCATTGTTCCTGGCCATAATCCATCTAAAAAGAGTTTCTTTGAAACTTATATATGAACTAGAATAAAATCTCAATAATATTAAAATCAGTGGTCACTTGCTAAAACATTCAAATGCATATTAAATGAAGGGAAATTAAAGAGAGCATAGTTGCTAATGTGCAAGGCAGAAGGATACCTAGGCATTATTTCTATCTGCAAAGAAATATAAATCAAAGCATCCTAAGATAAGTGAGGTTGTCTTCCATGCTTTTATTTGCACCATATTACTTTTTCAGGAATATTCATCCATTTCCAAAATATAATGGCTGAAAATATTTGCAACCCAAGTGTCTGCTCTTTGGGATGCGTCACTACAGTAAAACAGAGAAAATGCATCATGGCTTGGCATTTAATTGCCACTGCATGAAACCTAAGATCAACTTTCATTTTGATCAATCTATGCAGCCAGAAGAAAAAGACTAGAAGAGACCCAGAAAAGGTTTGGACACATTAAAAATTCAGTTTTGTAGTATTTCTCAGAAACACAGTTAAAAGGTTTTTCATCTGAAGAACCTAAGAATGATAAAGATATACCGATAAAAATAACATTGCATTGACAGTTGTAAACAACATAAGACAATGTGAATACTCACCTCACTCCAGTTTCCCACCAACCAATAGGCATTAATATGCAGGTTTCTGGACTTTTCTGAATCAGAGTCATTTAGTAATCTTGTTTTGAAAACATTCTCACTGTTTTTTGGCATAGTGATGTCTTGCACAAATGGACTTTCTGTGGGCCAAGAGGGTGTTTCACTGAAAGAGGATTTTGATGGGGTTGTATTTGCAGATTTTTCTTCGAATGTATCCTCTACTAGTGTTGGTTGTTCTGTAATGGGATCTGCTGTCACAGGCGGATTTATTTGTACACGAAGGCCTTTGAGATCGGTCATTGTCAATGAAGCCTCAGTTGTGGGAGTAACAGAAAATTGGCTGAGATGATCAGGTTGATCATCTGTAGATGAGGTTCCCGAGACCTTGCTTGTGGTGAATGTAAGGAACCTCTCTGTTGGTCTTTCAGTCTGAATGTAGTCTTTTATTTCTCCTTCAGTACTATTGGGCATTGTGTCATTTGCTTCCATTAAATAATTATTCTTTGGATTGTACCTGGGGTCAGTGGTAAAGGAATCCTTGTTTTTGGAGCTACCTTCTGAAGATATATTCCAAGCAGTTATGAGAGGTCCATGAGTGCTGTTTAGCAATGCGCTGTTGGCACTAGTTACACAGGAGTAGTTACTGAGTATGTTTGAGTCAATGGAATTGTTTTGTAACTTTTTAACTTCCAAGTCTTCATTTAGAGAAGAATTTATAAGACTAATGGAAGTGGGTATCAAAGTAATGTTTTTGAGCCTGGGTATTATTGTTGAATGGATTCTTGGCAATGGTTCTGGGATGGCCAATTTTTTTGAAGGGCCTCTTCTGGGAGTAACCCCTATTCTTCTAATAATCTTTCCATTATGGAACTTGAAATGAGTCCTTAGCAAGCTTTGAGTGGATAGGCATTGCTGTAAACCACACAGAGCTTTAGAATGGGGTTTCTTCAAAACATCACATGGTTCTCCATTGTTTTTGGTACAAGTGACATAACGAGTACGTACTCCTCCACCACAGGTAACTGTACACTGCAAAATAAAAACACATTTAGATATCTCATCCACTCCATCTCCAGTGAGCCAAATAAAACACCTAACTTGCTTTTTGGCATTACAGGGGTGGAAGCCATGAAACTGGGGGCTCATATTTAGCTGGAAATTTCAGTTTGATAGATTGGAGTTACTCATTCAAGCTGATGGTTGAATTTTTCAGGATAGAAAAGGTTAGAACAAGTGTGCTACTCACCCTGGACTTGGCTTCAGCGAAAAGGTTTTCCTGACTTTTATGTATTTCTTCATTGTGTAGCTATGGCTTCTGGCTCTACTCTTTCAGTCCCTTTTGAATGTTATCGCTATTGAATAAACTCTTTGACAATCTCACCCTAACATCTTAACAAGTATGAGCCAGCAGTGTGCTGCAGCTGCCAAAAAAAGCGCCAACACTGACTGCTGAGGAATAGCATCAAGATCATGTGAAGTATTAGTATCACTATATACTGCCTTGGTAAGATCACACTTGGAATACTGGCTCCCATTCTGGTCACCACAATATAAAAAAGATGTTGAGACTCTGGAAAGAGTGCAGAGAAGAGCAACAAAAATGATTAGGAGTCTGGAAGCTAAAACATATGCTGAACGATTGCAGTCTAGTCTAACAAAAAGAAGGACTAGGAGAGACATGATAGCAGTCTTGCAATATTTGAGAGGCTGTCACAAAGAGCACTTGAGGGCACGACAAAAAGTAACAGATGAAAACTTATGAAAGAAATCCAACTTGGAATTAAGAAAAAATTGCCTGTCAGTGAGAACAATTAATCAGTGGAACAGCTTGCCTCGAGAAATTGTGGGTGCTCCATCACTGGAGGTTTTTAAGAAGACATTGGACATCTGGAATTATATAGGTTCTCCTGTTTGGGCAGTGGGTTGGACTAGAAGACCTCCAAGGTCCTTTCCATCTCTGTTATTTTATATTCTGTTTTAACTAATTTATTTATTTATTTATTTTATAATAAGACTTATATGCCGCCCTTCTCCCCCATGGGACTCAGGGCGGCTCACAGCATATTAAAAAACAATACAAAACATTTCCCTATAAAAGCCAATTAAAAACCAAATATTTGTAGCTGTGTCTTGTTTAAAATCATTAAAAATTGTCCCTATTTAAAAATTCACCCTAGGTCAGTCCCGCTTGCTGAAAAAGC